CGTGGAATCGGGAGCAGGGATGGGCACTATTAGCTGGTAATATGAAGATTGTTTGCTTGGTTGTCATGAAAACAAATTAGTTTGGCAGTTTTGATGCAATAGTGTGATAATGGCCCAGCCTCAGAGTGCATTTGGACTTTGCTTTGCTTTTAAACAGTTATCTTCATTCCTATTGCTAAGTATCAGATTGATGCGTATCAAAGTTAGGCTCTTTGCCCAGATGCCCAGAGGTACACTTGAGGGATGTATGTGTTTCAGAGAAGGTGAAAGGTTTAGATCCTCTTTTTTTCCCCTTTTTTTTTGCAGGAAACAGAAGGAATTATATCATTGGGGAATTCAAGATACAGGTTGTAGGGGCCTAATTCTATGAATACCTTCTTTTGGCAAGCTCTGGAAAGTAACCCCAAAGTTTCAGACTCTTACCATTGAAATTATATTCCTGTCTAAGCAAAATAGTACTGCTATGCAGGATTTCTGTAATCTAAGCTCTTACAAATTTATATTGCACCTGGAGCTGATTACATGTTCTCTTAGAACAGTAAGGAAATTTCATGTATATCAGGGAAAAGAAATGATGCAGAAGGCTTTGATAAACCTTGGGACAGACTTTCAGGAGAAAAGTAATGCATATCCTAATTAATTTGGAAACGTGAAAAAGACTTTTCTTTCTCAAATCTTACCCTGTAAAGGGATGAAAAATGGTTGTACAACTTGTCAGAGATTCCTACTTTGTTTTGAGCCTAGAGTCTGTAGTGCCTAATGTTGGTGATTATGTAAGAAAAGACACAGTTAGTTTACTCTGTTCTGGGAATTGTACACGTGGCTGCAGGAGCATGAGTGAGGGGTATGTGCTCTCAAGAAGCACCATCTCAGCCAGTCACCCTCACCAGGGTCAGCCCAGACCCCGGCTCTGGTGGAGAGGCTGGGGTTCAGCGCAGACCCCAGCTCTGGTGGAGAGGCCTGGCCCGCGTGAAGTGTGGAGGGCCCAGCTGAGGAAGGTGGCTGGGCCTCGGGGCGGGAAGTTCTGGGCTGGAGCCCCACCCACCCCCTCGCTCCTAGGGAATGGGCCTCCTTTCAGAGCCTTCCCTCCTGGCACGTGAAATGGGATGGTAGCCCTCATGGGGGTGCGGGGCCGGTGGGGGGGATCAGATGCAGCCAGTTGCCTGTTTTCCCCATTCAGCTGCGGCTCCCTCACCCTGCAGCCTCCGCGATGGGGGTCCTGGGAGGAGGAAGCAGGTGCGGTGGGGGGAGCAGAGGCCCAGGACTGCTGGGGAAGGAAGGGGAGCCGAGCCGTGGTCTCCAAGAACAGAAAGCCTAACTTAAAAACCCAGATTTCCACAACCTCACAAAGTGGGAGATGCCCCCGGGAAGTTAGGTGGCCTGTGGCCTGTATACAAGCCGCCAGCTTCCAGTCGATAGGACAACACTCTTACCCGCATTTGGCTGTCACTGTTTGCCCCCCACCCCCAGCCCCTTGGGAAAATACCCAAGGAGAAGCTCTCGGTGCTTGGCTTGGCTTTGAGTTCTCAGATAAAGCGGCAAGAAAGGAGAGAAGTGTGGGCTCATCAGGGAAGGTGGGGGGACGCCCACAAGCCGGAGGGAGGCTGCGGCACGGCGCCCCAGCTCCCAGCCATGTGGCCCCCGCTCCTCCACACTCCCGCGGGCTGGCCTCGGGGACCTCGCTGACCCCGACTGCTCAGGAGCGGCCTGGGCTCCGGAGCCCCTCAGGGTGCCCCTCTCCATGCGGCCCCACTAGGGGCCCTCCTCTGGGACCTTAAAAATGGGAGTAAATCCCATGGCCACCTAAGTTTGGCAAAAGCTATTTATTATACCTGCCACAGCCCCTTAAAAACTCACCAGTCTGAAAAGTCTTGAAGAACTAAATGTAACTGTAACCCTCATATTTCAGTCAATGCTCCAGAACGTGCCCCGGGCCACCCGCGCGGGGAGGGAGGCAGGCAGGGGTCGCTGAAAGGCGGAGAGGGAGGTTCTGAGCGTCCGAGGCAGGGCAGCTGCTGTGGGTGGGAGGCGCGGGCTGTCTTTAGACGGGATGGTCAGAAAAGGCCTTTGGAAAATGTTTGGAGCTGGAATCGGAATAAAAACCGGAGCGAGGCTCGTGAACTGGATTTGCAAACGTCTTGGCAAGTAGAACCTAACAGGCAGAGGGGACAGGAAAAGGACTGTGTGTTCTCTGGGGCACACCGGAGGGAAATAAGGGCAAAGGGGGTTTGTCCGAGAACGTCTCCTCACCCAGACGGTGCGTGTCTGGTGCATAGCTGGTGTGCACCGAGCGGGGTGCCGGGTGCCACACACACAGCTGTCACATTTTGAAGAACAGACAAACACGAAGGAGGGCGAGTCAGCGTTTCTGGGACAAGTGGTGGAGTGTTGTTGTAGGTGAGGTGAGGCCGACTGCCTGAGTTCCAGTCCAGCTCTGCCACTTACCTGCCTTATGACCTGTAAGTCTGTGCAGGGTCCTCAGAGCGGTGCCTGGAGGGTGGGCACTCCGGCTGGAAGAGCCGATGGCGGCGTGATCACGGCCCCGCCACGGGCCTCACCATCACCACCAGGCAGCGGTGGCGGCCTCATCGTCGCCACAGAGCTGTGGCACAGCCAAGGTGCCTGGGGGTCGGTGGTCCCCTCCTGATGGAGCCCACGCTTGCCCCCAAGTGCCCCGTGCATGGCTGGGCACTGTCCACCCAGCAAACGAGATGCAGTGCTCCTTCGTCTGTTTTCTACCCATGTTATTAGCTCTTTTAACCAAAAAAAAGAGAAAAGAGATCTTCAGGATTTAAAAGTCTTAAGTTTGGTTGTTTTCATTTGGGCAAAGCAGTTGGTTAGTAGGGTTGAGGCTAAGATGGAGCAAATCAGAGCCTGAGACCAGCCCCTGGGAGGGATCAGGGTAGATGAGCATCACAGTTCTGTGATAATAATGGATTATCATAAGTAACCCTGAGGCACTAATGATTCACCACATTCCTTCTGAATCAGAAAAGTTAAAATCTATCTGCAATAGTTTTCGTATTTTATTGGTATCTAATTCTTAGAAAATCGGCAATCCAACTACAGAATAGGAAAGTGTCAGTTGCTGTAGATATTCGTACCATGAAGAACTCATTCCCTAAGCATTTAGATAAATGAGGTTTTTATAAAGCTAAATAAATTATTAAAATTCTATTTGTACATAGAAGAAGCCAGTTAGCCAACCAGTTGGGTGTCTAACTTCTGTAGCAGCCCTTTGGAATTAACCTAATTGCATCCGACTGAATGTCATTCACCTTTGCAACCTAAGAGTTCCATGCCAAGAGGGCAAACACGGTCTTTCCATTACAGAGAGCCGGACTTCCCTTCGATGATTTCGGCCGGGAAGAAAGCCACTCAGATTAATCTGTTTTAAAACTCTTTTGTCTGTGTGTGTGCTGTACACGCTGCCATGTTCCGAGACCACTTTGCTCATGGGTTCTGCTTCCCAAAACCTAGAGGTTTGTACTCTTAAAAAAAAAAAAAATGAATACCTCACTTGATGTACCATTTCATTCTGGGGAATCTTAACTAACACACTAATATCAGATCTGACAACTTCCTACGTATTTTAGGATTCCATGTACAAAACCATGCTATTCTAATTATTTGAATAGTAAATAGTCTCCAATTTATTTATTTATATTTAAATTTTTTTCTTTATCTCGTCTTTCCAGTATGGTAATGAGTGGGAGGTGAATATGTTCTCATTAAAGATGTAGCAAATATGGTTCGCAGCATAGTTATTTCCTTTTTACTTTTAGTACAAAGATTCTATAATCCTGAAATTCTATGTTGTAGAGTGTGTTGAGTGTTGCTTTTTATTTCAGTGAGACAAAAGTAATGTTCTGAATGAGAAAAGGATTAGAACAGCATTTCTCAAATATCACTTTTGAACCTTAGTGTAAAATAGATGTATCGCAGAAAAGCTTCAGAGAAAGAAAAAATGGAGCATTGTGGGACAGCAACGGTGTGCTAAGGATTACATGGAGGATTTAATTCATACAATAAACCTTCAAGATCTTTGATATTACCCATGTCAAATACATTGGTTCAGATTAAGTACATTGCCTAATGGTTTTGTGAATTACTGTTATGACTTTGGCTCTGAACGTTAAAGACATAACACTTTTTTTACTTTAAGCAACTATATAATACCTTTTAGAATGTATTTTGTGTTTATTTTTTTCTGTGATTTTCCTGTCCTCATTTCTCTTTTCTGCCTAATACTTTTAAGTCTTATGTTTCCAGTGTTTTTAGATAGATCACCCCATATCCTTTTCAGTGTAAACAGGATTATTAAATTAGTTAACTCATCATAAACTTGACCAAAGGCACACAGGTGGGAATATGACTAATCGCACAGCGCACTGATTGGTGTTCCCAGCGTTCCTTGCTGCACTGTGGAATCCAGATAAAAATGAAGCAAACAATGCCAGTGTTTTGAATGAGTTCACAGCTGTTCGAATGACTAGAATACAATCTATTTTGAGCAGAGAGAACTGGACTACATTCTCTTTCTATATTGAGCCAAGCCAGTAAGTCATTTTCAGTCTCCAGGATTCAGTTCAGCATTGTATTAACCTAATGAATATGCCAAGTCCCGTTGGGAGCAGAGGACCCCCAGGTGCTATTGCAGAGGACACCTTGGAGAAAGCCCTCTCTCTCACGATCGCTGACTGTGTCCTACAGCCTTCCCTGTAAAAATCTTTTTATCAACTCCCATTTGGATGCCATTTTTGGTGGCCTTCCCTTAATAGGGAGGCAGAGAACTTTCAGACTTCTGTAGTGGTTTTTGAAATTTGGAGAAAAGTGATAGTCTTATTGTAAGTAGATGCCTGATCTTGTACTTCCACTAAAGACAGGAAGAGAGGAAAATCCTCCTAAAAGAAATACAGTAGATCTTACCTTTATGAACTATTTATTAGGAAGTCTAATTTTGAAGATCGTAATATTCATTGATGTTTTCCTCTTTCCAGCGATGATGATCTTTGCTCTTTCATAGCCACCTTGATATAGTGTGGCATCAGTTTTTACTTTGCCAAAGGGCAACACTTCTGTACTTTTGCAAAGTTGAGAGGCAAACAAAGTGCTTTTCCTGATTCATCTCCAGTGTTGGGCAGAGGAGAGGGCACGGTTCTAAAGAAGGCCGCTCAGACGTGCAGGGCGAGTGGGAATTCTCCGACAAAGCAGCAGAAGTCACGTGGGTCCAGCCCCGAACCGGGCGTTACGGAGGCAGAAAGCACTGCCACTAGTTCCTCCGAAGCTCGCACGCTGGAGGGAGGCGAGCCCACAAGTTGAGTTCCTAAAATCATTAAAGGGGTTCCTTCCTGCGTCTGATCATGCAGTTGCCTTTTCTTGGACCGCCCTTGGCCCTTTGTTACCTGTCTCTTCAGTCCTTATTTGCCTGTCAGAGTCGAGCTCAGATCCTCTTCCTCCAGGCAGCCCTGCCTGCTCATTCCGGCTGGCAATGAGGTCTTTTCCTGGCTGTTTACACCGGTGTTTTACCGTGGAATGTGACCCTTGCTTGGATACTGCCTGGCATTTCCTAATAAAAGCGATCATTTTGTTGCACACAGATTAGGGGCTTGCTTTTATTTCACAGCATTCCCTTGAGGTAGGTGTTACCGTTATCCCAAATACCCCAAATTTACAGGTGAAGAAACGGGGGGTCAGGAAAGCTGACTCTCTTGCCAGTCGCACAGCGGAAGTTGTAGAGTCCAAGCGCAGGCCTCTGACTCGGGGCAGGAAAGGGCGGTGCGAGCGGTGCCGGGGCGCCCCCCGGGGGTCGGTTCCCGCAGCCGGCCCGGCCTCCTTGGGGAGGGCTGCCCTCCGCCGCGGCACCCCCAGCCCTTGCGCCCACCTGCGCCCCCGCCCGTCCTCCGGCCGCCCCGGCTGCAGGGCACAGGGCGCCCCGTCCCGTGCCTGCCTCAATTCAAAAGTAATACATTTTTGTAGGAAATAGAGAAATGAATTCACAAGTACCACCTGAAGATAACTTGATGAATTTCGGTATATATTACTCCCAGCATTTTCCCACTCCATAGATATTTTTCATGTAGAATATATAAACCCTTTTTTAAAGGGTTCGTTTTACACCTCTAATTTAGCAGTCTTTTTAAACTCTTATCTTCCTTATCATGAAATACTCTACATTATTTAGTGGTACAATTATTAAGCCAAACGTCTGTTTAGGTTCTTTCCCACCTCTCCTGTTGTATAATCAGTTCGTGATGAAGAGATGTAGCTAATTCTCTGTGCAAATTCTTACTCTCTTTTCCCTATCTTCCTGGCTTCTTTTTTATTTTAAAAATATTGTATGTACACTGGAGGAGTAACAAAGTATGTCCCCAGTGTCCATAGCCTCGTGATTTCCTTAAGATAGATTTCTAGAATCATTTAATTATTGGGTCAAAGGGTACGCAAAGTTTTAAATCACTTGCCATTTAGAAAGGCTCTATAAATTTATTGTAACTGAAAAATCTCACTGATAATGGGTATTATTATTTCAGATTTTGTCAATTTTATAGGTAAACAAAGGAATCCTGTTGTTTTTAATTTGTGTTTTAAAATTACTAGTGAAGTCAAGCATCTTTTTTATTATTGGCCATTTGAATATTCTTTTGTAAGTTGCCTGCTTATGTTTTCCCAATTTTCTTCCATAGAAGTGTTAATTTTTTCCTAATAACTTGTCAGAGATCTTTTTGAGCCAGGGAAGCTGAGATTTAAGGTACTCAAAAAAACTAGTCATGGAAAATATGCAATTCTTTCTATTTTTGATTTAACAATAGAAGATTTCTATTTACTTCTTGACATAAAAGGTAGAGATTACCTATGAATGATTCCTTTTGGTTTCTCCCTTCAATGCCATGTTTAGAAAGTCCTTCAATTTAAGACTGTTTTCTTCCAGTACTTCAGTGACTTCTTTTTTACATTTAAATCTTTATTACTTTACAGAGTTAATTTTGGTGGTTAGAATAGTTTCAAGATCTACCTTTTGTCCAGATGCTTAGTCATTCCTCAAATATCATTTATTAAATAATCCAGAGTTTTGAAGTTCCACCTTTTGTTAAACGCTAAATTCATAAATACATTTGTGGCTGTTTCTGAACTTCATTTCATTAATATGTCTCAAAATTCATTTTACTATCTGGATGACAAGCCACCTTCAACCCCTTCCCCCATCATTGTTCTTTTTAAAAATGTTCTTAGCTAATGTGTTCTTGCTTCCCTTCTGCAAGAAGAAAAGTTATCTGTATTCTATACATTTTGGATGAGGTTGCAGGAGGGCGGCCCATTTCTTAGCTTTTCTTAGAATTTTTCTCCGGCTGGCTGGAGAAGTAGGACTCCTATGCTGACTCCTTCCTTCACCCACATAGCTTCCATTCCCTCCTGGCCCCAGGCCTAGGACTGATAGGTGCAGCACACTGCTGGGAAGCCCAGTGCTCTGTGATCCTGTGAACATACACCTTCACTGGCGTGTTCCTCAGAGCCAGAGAGAAAATGGTCCCTTGCCAGATTTCACTGTCAGGACTGCAGGTGTGCTTCCACTAGCTGGCACCCGCCAGCACCTCCCTGGCCCCAACCCACTCTTCCTGTGTCTGGCAGCCTCACCAAGCCTCCACGACTGCCTTCCTCAGGAACACGCAGATGGGCCTGAGGCCACTTCCTCAGGCTCCTTTCCGACCCTGTGCGCCAGCCCTCCCCACTGTCCCCCACCCAGGCTGTCAGCACAGTGAGCCTCTGGGCTCAGGCAGAACTGGGCACCTAGCAGTTCAGGAAATACTTATTTAGTTGTACTTACATAGGACACCTGTGCTTTGGAGTCTCTGTGGCATGGAGTCTGTGTTTGAGGCAGACAGCATTTCACCCATCAGAACTCACCTTTTTCAGCTCCTTCATGAACATTCTTAGAGCAACATGAAAAATGGTCACCTTTGCACAAGTCTCAGCCAGAAGCCAAGGAGAGCAGAAAATCACTTTTACTATTTTTTTCTTTTTATTACGATTTGTCATATTAGTCCCATTTTTCTTTTTCATTCTTTGCTGCTGAGGTAGCTGCCCCCTGTGGACTGTGACAGGCCACTGCCAGCTGGCAGACAGAAACTGCCACCAGCTCCACCACACAGAAGAAGCAGGCCCTGGAGAGGAAAGACTCCTGAGCCCCTGGGCGCCACAGGACGCCTTCTTCATAAAGCCATTACTCTCTAGACCAGGAGGCATAGCTGACCCGTCCAACAGGAAGAAACTCAGAAACCCTGACTACATGAGGAGGCAGAGGAATACGTTCCAAACAAAACTACAGGACAAGACACCAGACAGAGGGCTAAATGGAATGGAGATCAACAATCTTCTTGATAAAGATTTCAAAGTAACAATCATAAATATGCCCACTGATCTGTGGGAAAGTATTGATGATCTCAGGGAGGATGTCAGCAAAGAGATACAAGAGTCTGAAAAGGAGCCACTCCCAGCTGGAGAAACAGAAACTGAAATGAAACATACAGGGGAGGGAATGAACTCGTTGCTGCAAGTAGAGGAGACAGTGAGACGGAAGTTAGAGAACAGGAGCGCAGTGCAGCTGAGGGACAGTAAAAAGGGATCTCTAGGAATGAGAGAATGATGAGAGCTGTGTGACCCATCCAAACGGAGCAATATTCACATTACAGGGGTACCAGAAGGAGGAGAGAGAGAGAGACAAAGGGGTGGAAAGTCTCCTTGAAGAAATAATTGCTGAAGACTTTTCCAGTCTGCAAAAGAAAACAGGGACCCAGGTCCTGGAAGTGCAGAGGGCCCCTAACAAAGGGAACCTCAGGAAAGCAACATCAAGACATGTAATCAAAATGACAAAAGTTAAGGATAGAGAGAGTATTGAAAGCAGCCAGAGAAAACAGATCACTTACAAGGGAAGCCCCATCAGGCTATGAGCAGACTTCTCAGCAGAAACTTGACAGGCCAGAAGTGAATGGCATGAAATATTTAAGGTATTGAAACAGAAGGATCTCCAGCCAAGATTCTTCTGCCCAGCAAGATAATCATTCAAATTTGAGGGAGAGATTAAACATTTCCCAGATAAAGGCTGAAGGAATTTGTAACCACTAAACCAGCTTTTACAGGATATGTTAGAGCAACTTCTGTAGATAGAAATTGTCTAAGTCTATAAATATTTTTCACCAGTGAAAATAAACCTACAGTAAAGGTAGCAGGCCAATTAACAAGCAAGTATGAAATTAAAACAAAAGTAGCAAAACCAACTATACACAAATTCAGTCAAGGGATGCACAAAAAGTGCAGATTATGACATCTAATACATAAATTGTGGAGAAGGAAGAAGAATGGAAAAGTAGTTGTTTTAGATTGTGCTTTAGAGAGAGTGACCATCAATGTAATATAGACTGTTATATATTTAGGAAACTGTCCATGAACCTAAGATAACCACAAACCTAAAGCCTAAAATGATTCTTCAACAAAAAATTTAATGCTAAAAACTAAGTTGTTTTCTGTAGAAGACACTTGATTGAAACTAGTCTGGTGCTCTTCGACAGAAAAATAAATCAAGTCACAGATACAATTCAGTATTTCTAGCAGCTATGTTAAAAAGTGTTAGAAGCCCAAGTTAAATGAACTTTAACTTTTTATTTAACTCAGTATACCTAAAGTAGTATATCAGCATGTAGTCTGTATTAAAAAAATTGAGATACTTCAAACATTTCCTTAGAAATCTGTGTATTTTACCCTTCAGAATGTATTTACACAACAGCACATCTCAATTTGTACTAACCACACTTAAAGTCTAAATAGCCACATGGGAGAGCATTTTCTAAATTTTGAATTATCTTTTTTTGTCCTTGTACTGCAGACAACAATTTCTAGTTCTTAACCAAGGGTCCTTGTCCAGACCACCTGGAAACTCTCAAAATATGTATTCCTGTCTATATCCCCGCTGCAGCTGCTAGGTGAAAATCTCTGTGTGAGCCTGGGCAGCTGTGTTCTGACGAGGTGCATGGTTTTTACGACAAGCACCTTTTAGGAGCCACACAGTTCCTTCATTTCAGCCATGAGGGAGGAACATGTCCAGTGTGGTCAGCCCCCTGCAGACAGGAATGATACAGACATGAGTCTTCCATGGACAAATCTCGTGTCGTTTTTGCTGTACCATGTGTCTCCTCATTTTTAACATACTGGATAAGCAAGCCTGCTAATATTGAACGGAGATTTTCAATAACAAAACAGACTGGCTACAAAAGGGATTTTCAGATTAATCTTTAGAGTGTCAGGAAATTAAATGTAAGGCACCATCCTGGGGTATGTGTAAGTGCATGCATGCACACACATACCCATGCATGCTGCCTAATAATACTTTTGCTAGTTGAAGTTTCATTGCAATGGGTGTGAGTACCTGCTCTTTATATGTACTTCCATTCTCTTGCTGTTTTTTTAGACATTAGCATTGGTCTGTAGCATTATAGACTGCTATTAAAGATCTCTATCAAAATAGCGATTGGGTTTATTGTAATTACTGTATGTCTGGACATCATGACCTATCATAAAAGTTCTTCAGCCTGTCAGTTTTCAA